CAATTTGAGACAGCGGCCATCTTTTTAACTGTTGGACAGAGACATGACCACAATTGTGTCAAAATGAAAATATCTCACCAAAAGCACAGCCACCGCCACGTTTAGTTGAAGTACGCAGCCACGCCCACCACATATCAGGGATTTCGAGCGTATTTGGTCAAGCCAAGAAAACCCTATCATCTGTGCTTGTTCGCAGTGAGTTTTTAATTTTATCACCAGTTAATAAAAATTGAAATCACTGTTGCCTATTAGCGAGATTTATTTTATCACTAACTGTGAAATTTACTTACTGAGCGCCTTGCAAGCATTCCTGATAGCCGTTACTTCAGCGTGCATGGTTGGATCCTTTGTGGCCAACACCTGATGAACGTACAACTCATCTCTAAAAATTCACGGAACTGGCCCGTAAAGCCGCGTTCATACCCAGCGATTTATAAAATTTTCAGAACAGGAGAACAGGTGAATATGCGTTATCGGATACGAACTGATCAATGACATCGACCGATTGAAGTCAATACCTATCAAAATTACCAACTGCCAAGAAACAATCTGTATCAACTCTTTTCGCGGACACTCCACTGTCTAATACGGTGGTGGATATGAGCGCGGCCCAACAGTCACTCCTATATTTGGACTTGGGATGAATTGTCCGCTGTATTTCTACTATGAATGTGCTTAGAACTTACCATATTATGCCCAGTAGCTATGACCTTCCCTTGTCGAACTACAACTGCTCCAAAGGGGCCGCCATCTCCTGCCTGCACTCCTGCACATGCTTCCTCAACGGCGGCCTGCATGTGCTGCATCACCGACGCCTCCGGACTCTCTTATCGACCACTGTTTACTCGGCAACGTGGTGACTGAAACTGACCTTCAGATCCCAGTCATTGCTTTCTTAGCAATGATAAGATAGCCGAGGAATATAAGCTCCGGATAAGATAATAGAGATAAAACCCAGTTTTAGCCAGGAGCGCCGCGCTACTTCATTCCACCCAGGTCCTCATACTCTGTCCTTACAGCGGAATTAGCTAACTGGCACGCTACAACGCGCTACCAGCACTCCAACTCTCCGAGGACGATAAATTGGTTCTGTATTCGTCTGGGAGGATAAAAAGC